CCCTTTCTTCCATAGGTGGTAGACCCTCCTTTTTTTCCTGAGTCCCAGCAAGAGCTCCCTGTTCAGCCAGGCCAGTCGTCTTCCCCGCCGGTTCGTCTTGCAGCACATGGGGACAGCCTGCTCCTGTGCCTTTAAGAGTTCCTCCTTGAAGAATGTCCAGCCTGCCTGGACCCCTTTGCCCTTAAGCACTCTCTCCCAGGGTACCCTCTCAACCAGCGTCCTGAGCAGCCCAGGGTCCGCCCTCCAGAGTCCGTGGTGGTGATTTTGCTGGCATGTGTGTTGATGCAGGCTTCTGTGCAGTCTGCATGAGCTCCAGAGAAGGGATTGGGCGTTAATTTGTTTGTTAGTCTGTGCTGAGATTTTTGTTGCTGCAGCTTGGTTGCTCCTGGTATGTTCTGGGCGGCAGTGGATTCAGATCCGCAATGCGCCTGTGCTGGTCCTGCTTCCAGAGCGACCATCTGCGAAGGCTGCTGGAGACCACGGCTGCGGCATCAGCGATGTGTATATGCTGGAATGTTGTCTTTCAAAGGGTTGTCTTAAAAGCGTATTTTCTTTATAGCCATCATCTTCAGTGGAGGTTGTTTCAGCTGTTTTTAATGGCTCCTCTCTGAGCTGGATTAAGACCTTTTAGGACTAAGGATTCTCGTGGCATTGGTGACACAGAATTGTTCTTGAACAAGCATTTTTAACTCAGTTCAACTTTTCTCTCTGGTCTAAGGCCAACAAAAAATGGAATCTGAGATTGAGTGTTAAAATCTAAGCATTTCTTCAGTCAGTTGAGCATTGACTGCCTTGTTGGGATCTGCGCCTGTGCCCTCTCAGGGTCCCTGTGCAGTAGTTTCGCGTTACTGCACTAAAACCTGCATGGTGGACGACACGAGTAGCAATGGCAAATGAAGCTGCATTGATACGAGCCAGGAACAGACCAATGTAGATCGAGATGGATCCACAGAAGAATACGCACCATTTAAAATCAGATTTCTTAAAAAATATATGCACCATTTAAAATCAGTTTTCTTAAAAAATCTTGTGAGAAAAGCTTCTTGCATAGGAAGAACCTTGGGGATTGCTATTTCTGTTACAGAAGCGTTTGAATTGTGCATCGGTGATCATTGTCGAACTTTTGTGCAAGGAAAATGAGAAGTTACTGTTCCAGAGAGGTTCTGACCTTGTTACCTAGTTAGACTGTAAGCAATGAAAAAAGACAAACTGGGTGACAAGGCAGAAAGAACAAGGTAGATGTTGTCGTCAGCGTGCCTTCGCTGGATGATTTTTCCCGCAACTTCTCTGAGCTTTGTGACGTTAGAGGCACAAAGACTAACGTGAAGAACGTAGAATGGGGGAGGGTGCTGCAAATCCTGTCTCTGAGATGTCCACTGGTTTCAGCCCTGTGCTTTGTACATTTGCTGTTTGCTTATTTGTACTTTAGGAGTTCGCAGCTGTGTGAGAGTTGTTACCTTTTTGCTGTACTATTTAGTAAGGCTTCTAAAATAATTGCTGGAGAAGTTGTGAGGTTCTTGTGGCAGCTTGCCTTCCTTGTGTTACAGGGATCCAAGGAATAGTGGATGCCTACCGCCAGATCCTTCCTCAGATCCGACTCTATGGGCCAACCAATTTCTCTCCCATTATAAACCACGTGGCAAGGTTTGCAGCGCACTCAGCACACCAGGGAGCTGCTGCAGTGAGTGCCTGTCCTCTCCTGTGCGTCCGCGTTGGGTTGATGTTTCTGTTTTCCGTGTTCGTGATGGGGTAGAATGCAATGGTAGTGATGTTGTCTTCCTTCCTTCGGATCCCGAGTCTCGTCCTCTCCTGCCAGCCTGCAGAGAGGCTGTTGGTGCTCTCTTGGTACATACTGATACGAACCTGCGCTTGGTAGACGTTGACATTGGTTTCCATTGCTCAAGTGATAGTTGTTTATCCTTCTCACAGTTTGCTGGCGTTGTACTTACTGTTAAACTATACAGGGGTGCTTTGTTGGCTTCCAGACCGGTTGGACTCTGTCAGCAGTTGCCTTGCTCCAGCCCCTCTTGCCAAGCTCCATCACCCGTCGGGAATGCATGCAGTATCGGGGGGCCTTATTTCATTCCAGACAATTTTGCTCTCAAGAATGTACACAAATAAAAATATCAGAGGGCTTGGCTATCTGTCCCACCATGGTGGCATGCAGAATCAGGCGCTCTCGAGGGCCAGATTAACGAAGGAGTCTGAGAACTGTAAAAGCAATGTGCTAATTGTGTTGCAGAGCACCCATGCTATCCTGCCGTTGCTGTATGTCCATTCGTGTGCTTGCATGGCTGTGGCTGCTGTTCAGGTTAAACTCTGTTCCTTTAAACGTCATTCCTTTTGCTTAAGGGTGAGGGACTCGTATTTCCTGATCGATGTAACTGATTGCATGGTGACAGACCAGTCGGAGGGAATTCCTCGCTCTGATCCTTGCTTTATGGTCTAGCTGTGTTGGTGGTTTTGGTTCTGCTGAGGTTTGTGTGTACGTCGAGTACGTTTCCCACACTGTGAGGTGCTTGGTCTAGGGAGACCCATTTCTTACCTTTCTGAGGGTATTTTTTAGCCTTCCCAACACACCTTAGGCTCTGGAAAAGGAAGTTTTAAGCACTTTGCCATGCTAATGTGTTGGCTTGAGGTATGTTTTTCTTTCCAGAAAAGCACCTGTATTCTTCCCTTCTCGTCACCGTTGGAGTGTCTTTGTGTCATGACATTTGTCACTGCTGTGTTTTGAGATTTCTGATACTTATAATTGAAATTATTGGTAACTAAAAAAGAAGTCTTTTTGAGTTACACTCCAGGGATGTTAAACATTAAATATTTTTGAGATGTCTGTGAGTAAAGCAGCATCTGTGAGTGAATTTTGTATGCAGATTTGTTGGTTTAGTAGTACTTTGCTCATCTCTAGTACTTTCTCACAGTTGATGCAATTATTCTTTATAAATTTAATTTAAGCCTCTGTCTTTTTTTTCCAGTACAGAGGAAATCTGCAGAGCACAATGAAAGGTGTTACGCATATGAAAAAATGGGAATAAACAGAAGTTTCTCCAGTGTTCTGGTTTTGTCTTATGCACAGCACCATCTCTCATTTCTTTCTTAGAGTAGAAGATTGCTCCATTTGCCTTGAGTTACGTGAGCTTTGGTGGTGAACTCCCTAACTGGGTGCTTTCTAATGTTTTTCAGCAATATTTTATCTTGCTGATCATCACAGATGGAGAGATCACTGATCTGGACCAAACTAGGCAGGCGATTGTTAATGCCTCCAAGCTGCCAATGTCCATCATTATTGTTGGGGTTGGTGAAGCTGATTTCAAAGCAATGGAGTTCCTTGATGGCGACAACGGTGTCCTGAAGTCCCCGACCGGAGAGCCAGCCGCGCGAGACATTGTCCAGTTTGTGCCTTTCCGGCAGTTCAAAAACGTAAGCTGTGTTCGCCTCCAGACGAGTCCTGGTGCCGGTGCATGTGCAGTCATTGCACGTAGAAGACGAGCGTGGGTCTAGACAAGGCAGCAAGCTGTGTGCTCACAGTGCTGCCCGAGCTGCTGGTTCCCACTGAGAGCTGAGATGTTTGCTTCCGTGCTCGAAACCGCGTGCTTTGTCGCCGCTCTCTTGTGGCCTCTCTCAAAGAGCTCTCGTCGTATCGTCGGTTTAGCATAGTGTCTCTCGGCTGTTGCAGAGCTAAAGGAGTAAAGGAGCCGGTTTCCTTCCTGGGGTGCAAACGTTTAGGCAAGGAATTGAGATCATACTGTCAGTCTCTGGTGCTGAGTCCCGCCAGTGGTTTAAGCTGAGTCTTCCGGGCTGTTGAAAGCAGTCCTGGCATTCCCCAGCTCCTCCCTGCCTCTGCTGTTGGCACTGGCATTCATGCACGTTGCATGGTGAATTGGGGTGGAGTCAAATGAAAACCCCAAATAAGAGAAATTGCTGGTGGCTGGGGCAGTTTCCCCACCCAAATCAGGGCCGTGTGAGGGCTGTGTGAGCCTGGGCTTGAGGTGGGAGCAGTGCTGGGATAGGAACAAGTGTTTTTCAGCAGCGCTCACTGAGACTGACTGGAAGTGCTCCTAAAACTGCATCAAGGACCTCCTGAAGCAGAGTGAGGCGTGGCAGGTGGGAGGCTGCACTCTGAATTCCGTGAGAGAGTTTGTCACTGGGCTGATAAATCCTTTCTCTGCAGTACTGCTGATTTGGTCTCCCTGTTCTCTTTGCAGGCTCCCCGGGAAGCTCTTTCCCAGATGGTTCTGGCTGAAGTGCCTAAGCAGCTGGTGTCCTACTACAAATGGCAGGGGTGGCCGCCCATGAAACCGCCAGAAATAAGAACGGTGTAGGTTGCGGCCTGACCCTGTGCAGCCGCATCACGGGGCTGAAGAGAGCTGTCTGCGCCCACGCTCTGCCTCGCACGCTGCGGGTGCTCAGTGCCTCGAGATCGTGCCGTTCACACTGACTCTCATACCTGCTTGTGCTCTGTGTCTTCCATCTTTCCTGTTCCTATTCGGAAGAAATACAAATACAGGGAAAAAACACAACTGCTGGCAGGTGTTCCCACAGGAAAATAAACCTTGTTGGTTTTGCACCTTGCAGCAGTTGCACCTCGTACCGTGCATCGTTGCTTGACACGGTCCTTCCGCTGCTTGGTGTCAGGGTGGGGATGTGCACCGAGCTGCTCACGCAGCGCGGCCTCGCTGCTGGCTTTGGTTTGTGCATCGCAGTCGTGTTTGCTGCAGTGATCCTTATTGTGTGTTCTTGGTAGGTGGCTTTTCTGCTGTCAGGCTGCCTTGGGAGTGGGGACTCTTCTGCACTGGTTAGTACCAAAGTCTGTTGGTTGGGTGGCTGAGGCAGTTCCTGTTGTGCCTTCGTAAAGTGCCTGTATGTTTTTGTACGTGGAGGTTTATTTTTAAATTTCAGTGACCATACTTTGCAATCTTTTTTTTTTAGTCACATTTTTCTATTAGCAAAAATTGCTTCTGTGATGGCCTCTTGCTTGGAGCCGTTGTTGCAATTTAAGAATACTGCACTTTGCTTATTTGTGGGGGATTAATGACGATTAATCATTAGTTAATCGGGGCGTGGGTGGGATTAATGAGTCACATTAATGTGACTTTCAAAATCCAGCAACTGGAAACACTGAAATAAAGATGCTTTGAGTGATTTCTTTGTGTTCCGGCAGCTAGGAAATGAAGAAGTAACGATCTGTGGAACCCCACAGAAGTGCCTCCTTGGCGACGGGAGCGTGAGGCGTGTGTTGCGTGGGCTGGGGACGGTAGAACAGGCCTGTGATGGCAAAGCTCAGTTGTTTTGAGACGGGAGTTGATAGTTCATTTCAAAATACAGGCGAAGAAACTTGGCTTGTCATTGCACTACAAGTGGTCATCTCTTTTAGCTTCTGAAATAAATAATCTGCTTTGACTTACTTAACATGTATCGACTCTTCTTTCCTTTCTGGGCTTTTCCTTGTGTTTTCCAGCAATCTGGATGTTTTGGTTCATGGAAGGTCTTTGCTATATAGAGCTAGCCGGGTGGTGATTCCGCAGCTTGTTAGCCTCGGCTGAGCGCGAGCAGCTGCGAAAGCCGAGTTGTCCGTTGTCATCGGTTTGTTACCTGTGAGTCGCGGAGACGGCTGAATGTATGTCCTGCAGCACGGTGAGCGGTTTCTTTACTGTGAAATTGTGAAAGAACTTGGCTGTTCTACCAGGTAAAGCAGGAAATGGGGAGAACGCGTTGGCAGACTGCCCTGGTGATTCAGGCTGTGAAACTGGTAGGTTACAAACCCGTGTGAAAGCAGAGCCTGGGTTTGACTCCGCGTCCTCAGCTGGACTAGTTCTGGATGGTGTCTGCCACCAGACTGGTACATGGCTTGTGTTTGGAGGGCTGTGGGTCTAGGACCACTGCTGAGTGAAGATGAACTTGTGCTAGCTTTTTATTCAGTTTTAGTGTCGTGATCTGTTCTCCTGTGTTCCACAGGCAGCAGACGGCTTCTTCTAGAGAAAGCCAGGTTGTCTCTCCTGAAATACCCCATCATCTGGCCTACAGCACCCAGTTTTCGTGTGCTTAATTAGATTCTTGAAGGAAGCCAAGTCACTGCTCTCCTTGAGTGGCTGCCGAAACTAAAATGTGTTGCAAGTGTGGAAGAGCAGGAGGAAAACTGCCAGATCTTCTCTGAGAAACTGCACTGTGGTTGAGAGCATCCTTTACTCACGTTTTCAGCCGCTTACGACCTGTAGGCAGAGCTCTCCTTGCCTGTATTATGTGTACAAGCAAACCTAAGGCTGCTCTTGTCTGTGTGTGTGTGTGTGTATCCTTTTTTTTTTTTTTTTTTTATACAGTTTTTTTTAACGTTTGTTTACTTGCTGTG